AAGCTTAGGGTACAGAAGCCAAGTGAGAAAAGTGAAACACAGTTAAACATTGCTATTGGGGGAGTCCAGTGAGTCCTGAGTGACACTGGTGAACAGTTTTTGGTGAAGTCATGGGCAAAAGCCTAACTGAAGTGAATTTAGAGAGTGTGAAATGGGATGAGTTGAAGAAATTGAGCAGAAACTCGCAGAAGGAGTGGGACAAGCTGGCTTTATTTTTAGAGGGAGAGAAAGGCTTTACTTGTTTTTTGATACAAATGTTCCTTTAGAGGATGATAGATAAATTGCTGGTATGAAAGGTAATTGAAGGTATGATTTAGTGCTCAAGCAGAGGGATTGATTTTAATAGGAAGAGCACTAGTAGTTATGGTAACATATTATGAAGACAGAGTTTATGGATTTACTTGTTAGGAGGATAGCCTGGAATTAAGTGGGTTACCTTTTAGGATATGTCAGTTTTTCATAGAGAAATAAGTAACGTAAGTGGGTAGGTAATGGTAGTGGTTTGAAGAGAAAATGTGGATAGTACAGTCCATTAAAGGATTATATACAATATTTAAAAATGACACTATAAATGCATTAGTTTTTTAAAGTGCAAATTTAGTTGTATAGATAAAGGTATAAAAACAAAACTACCTTATGCAGGTTTGTGGTTCTGCAAATCAAGTGTGGTTAAATGAAGGGGGCATAAGAATTAGAAGAATATGCAAGGACATACTATGGAATTAAACTGGTTTGTTGTACTAGTTTAAAAACTTTTTAATAAAAATAGAATTTTTTAGTAATTCAAATCATTTACATACATTCTTCCTTTTATTCTTTTGCTTATGCATTTGTATAAATACCTGACTAAAAGTCTTGTAAATGTTATTGATAGTTCTGGGTTTGAGCTAAGTTAGATGTTTCAGCCTGTCCAAAAGTAGTATTTTTATTTTAAAATAAAGTTGGAACATAAAGCATGAAGACCATATGAGTTATCTTTTCTAGACCCTATAGGGTATTTGGTGGAGTTAGCATATAGGCAGAGATAAGACAAGGCAGAAAGCACTTGGGACAGATGTTAGTTGCTTGGACTCATTTCTGTTTTACTTGGTGGGAAAAAGAGAACAGGAAAGTCAGGTGACAGTATCTTCACTTTAGGAATGCTGACTGATAGTCTCTAGGGATGTTTGATGGAAAACATGGGGAGAAGGGGCACAAATAGATAATTGTTAAATTCTAGGGCAGTAGTTAGACTTCAACAATTGATATTGAGAGATAGGCAGTTTAAGTGAATGGCATACCATACACTTCCATAGGAACACTAAGCAGTATAAAAGATTTTTGTATGAGGTTTACAGAATATGCAATTCCATTACAAATCTGATACCATTTTTCTTAGCAAAATTATAATGAATTTTCTTGATAAGTTGGAAGAAGTAACATAACATGAGCTGAAAATTAAATGAGAAACTTAAGTTCTAAACACAGACATCTTTCTCATTCCCTTCCCTCACTCTTACTCAGTATGAGCTCACTGACTTGAGACAAACATACCATCCCTAAATTTTTATTAAAATTAAATTTTATTATATTAAATTAAGTTATATTAAATTTATAAAAATTTGGGGAAAAAGCTAAAATATCAAGAAGTTTTAAAAAAAATGTATAGTGTGTAAAACATAATTATTATTAGAAGCAGTATTAACTTCCAGACCTTACATTTATCTTTTTGCAGAGTTTCTACTGTAAAGCTCTAGTTTTTCATCACTATACTTTCTTAAAAGGGCATGGTGCGGAAGTCATATATCTGATGATTCAAGTTTTTTAAGCCTTCTGGAATACATTTTTAAAGCCAGTTTTAAAATTAAAGTGAGATTTTGCATAGTAATAGGGCACCTAAAGTTCTTTTGTTAATGTCACTTTTTATAGTAGTTCATATTAATTTTATTGGTTGAATTGCTATAACTGAACCAATAAAAAAACAGAATAGAAAGGACTTTCAAGGCGAATTTTTCACTTTCAAGGTTAAATTTTCAAGGTGAATTCTGCTTTTTGCTAGTAATAGAAGAGCTTTGCTCTTCTCAGGTAGACTTAATATTTCATTATGTTATTATTACTTATTTTTAAGAACATAATAAGAAAAATCTTCCCTAAACTATTTCCTTAACCTTATTTCGCTCAGTCTGCAGGATACATCATGAAAATAATTAGCTTTGAAAAAAACACATATGCATCAGACCAGAATTAAAGACATAATACCTATTTCTCCTCACACATTTATTTAAAAAGTCACATACTTCTCAGATAGTTATGTTTGTATGAATGTATATATAGTTGCAAAGAGTCTAAAAAACAATATTTTGAGACTTGATACCACGTTCATTCTGGAGACCACTTCATTCTTCCAAGTTCTCATGTTTTTAACCAAGTCTCTGCCATTTTCTTTCTGTTAATCAGAGTCCTTACCTCTTATTGTTGTGTATATGGTTGAAGCCATCAGGCAGGATTTTTTTCCTGCTTTCCTGCCTTCCCTGACACAACAACCTAGTTCCATTCCTGTTGGCAATTACTTCCTGTCCTCAGGTCTTGGAAGAAATAGTGTTTTTCCTCCTGTTTAAGGCAAATTCCTTCATCCTTTAACTCTGGTCTCTATTACTCCCAAAGATTGCTTAAGTATTTTTATCAGTTAATAATCTTGATCCTGCCACTCATTCTCATTACTGTTTCTTTGAAATCCTACATAGAGTCCTCAGCCCAGTTTAGTTTGCCCCCAAATAGCAACTCACTAAAACACTTTTAATTGAGTATCAGTGATTTCCAATTCAGTAAAAGCCAGTGCAAATATTCCTTCTTAACTGTACATGTGTTGTTATTACTGTGGAACATAGGATATCCATGTTTGTAAGATTTCAGGATGCTATTTGAAAGCAGTTTTCTGTGAGTAATTTATTTGGGATGGGGATGATTTGACTTCTAATAAGTAAGAAACTGAGTTAAAATAGCAATGTATTTTCACTTTTTAATGTTGGTTTTTCAAATATTAAGCTTAGTATTCTAGGTAAGAATTTTTATTAGACAAATGCAGGTTTTGGGTCTTCTGAAGAATGTGACAGGGAATTTACAGAAGTATTTCAAAGATACAAAAAGCTGAGTGATCAAAACTGTCATCACAGTGTTACCTGAGTTGTGCTTGAATCATGAACATATTTACCTGATCTCTAATAGAAACTATCTTTAGTTAATTATATCATTTATTGATCTTTCAAAAATCACCATTGCCTTTAACTTCAGTCTCATAGAAAACATGAAGACTCCAGAAATTGATGAATGTTAGATGTGACTCACATAGATTTAGTTTTAAATTCTGTCTTTGCCGTTTACTAGCTGTGTCATTTCAAATCAGTCATTCAGAACTTCAGTTTAATCTGCTGTAAAATGTTGGTGGTATTTTAACACCTCTTTCCTATACTTCGTGTAGGTAAAGTAGTGCTTACAGTGATCAGTCAGTGGTAGCTATATTGTTAGTATTAATTATACTTTTAAATAATCATGTTCATTATCTGCTTTCTCACTTGATTACAGTGTTCTTGAGTCTATGACTTTTTCGTATTTGTATCTCTAGTACCTAGCCCGAAATCTCATTTATAGTTGTGATTCATTCTTAAATTGAATAAAACATAAACACAAAACCAAAAGAATAACAAAATGAATCTAGCAGGGGAACACCAGAAAGAGAAGTAAAAGGGAAATAAAAGTCTTAATTGAGGGTATTGAAGACAACGAGCTCCACCTTCCTTCTGGCTCTGGGTCTGCTCCCCTCTGCTTTATCTTCAGTTATTCCATATAGGCCAGTTGTGTGTGGAGCAGAAGTATTCCTTTAGTCTTTTCATTTCCTGAACATCAGTAAATCCAACTTTTGTGATGAGTTGAATTGTTCTGGCTAATATTAAATTAGTCTTTGCCAAACTTTCTTTTATGCCAGAGATAGCAATGGGTGAAAGGTGGGCATTATATTTTGAGTGTCTGTTACAATCCAGTCTTTTTTTTTTTTTGAGACATTATTTTTTACTTTGTTTCCCAAATATTAAGCATAGTACTATACTTAGTTTCCTTGCCTTTTTTTATAAACCTTAAAATACAAAATTAATGTTTTATAGTCCCTGAATTTCTAGTGTTAGGAATCATGTGCCCCTTTAGGTAAGTAAGGGTATACCTTTTCTTTTCAAGAGCAGAAAATAGGCTTCCTTTGTTAAGGTATATGAGAACACCATAGGTATTAAGTATACATTTTCCACATTTGCCAGCAATGACTTAGACTCATTACTGTTACTTACTAACTCAAGTGTGTATGTTTGTGTCTTATATCTGTGTCTTTTTATACATATATTTTTTAAGTGTACATTTTTCACATTTGCCAGCAATGACTGAGACTCATTACTGTTACTAACTCAAGTGTATATGTTTGTGTCTTATATCTGTGTCTTTTTATACATATATTTTATGTGTGTATGTAGCTTTATATTTAAGCAGTTAGATATTAGAATTTACACCGACCATTGCAGTATATATTCCTGAAAACTGATGAAATAATAAGAATAAATAATGGTTTGGAGTTGTGACTGGAGATAGTACTAATAAAATATACAAATATTTAAAAATGTATTAAGACCAAGTTTGCTGATCTTACTTCTAGAATGTTTCTCAAGGTCTTTGAGAATACAGTAATGCTTTTTACCTTAAGGATACATGTAAAAACAGAGATAAAGTATACCATTTCATTACTTGTGTTAATTTTTAAGGCTACCTGGAGTTTTTTTTTTGGAGTTCGTTTCAGGTAAAATAATTTTTACCTTAATATGTCTTCCCACTTTTAGAAGACTTTCAAAATGTATTCATTGAGTTTCTTATTTTCTAGGTAAAATAGGCCAATTTTAGAGATTTATTTATGAAAAGGACTTTGAAAAATCGTAATACTTTAGAATCTGCTGTTAACATTTAGGAAATACTTTTTCTCTATTTAGTGGATGATGCTGGGAAAGTAGAAAATGATGGTTCCTCTGGAATGACCATGGACACAGAGGCAGAAATTGATCCTTTTATTAAAGTGGATGGCACTTGCCCTGAGGTCATCAAGGTGTACATTTTCAAAGCTGACCCTGGAGATGAAGATTTAGGTAAGAAGAAACATTTAACATGTTATACATCCTGAGCAGACACTTAAATCTGCTTATTTTTGGGTGATTTAAATGAGAACATCTGAACTTTTTTCTGAAGATGACTTTTGTAACACATATTCCATGTACTATTAACTATTTTCCATGTAATATTAAAGTATTAGAAGAGGTAATTATTAAAATCAAAGAGTTGGAAATGAAGTTTTCACATAAATTCTTGGAGCTCTTATCTTCCTTGATAGGTGGTACTGTAGACATTGTGGAGAGTGAACCTGACAATGACCATGGAGTTGAGTTACTTGATCAGAATAACATTGTTCGTGCACCAAGGGAAAAGATGGTTTATATGACTGTTAATGAGTCTCAGCAAGAAGATGAAGATTTAAGTAAGTAGTGGTCTTTTCAAAGGAGACAGATTGGGTTTCTGTGTGTTGGATGTTTTTATAAACATGATAAATATTTAAAGAAAATGAGCATTATTGTAGACATATTTGTACTGCCATATTCCAAAAGATATATGCCTAAGATTCATAATATATGACTAGGGTGACAGTGTGAGAACAAATTACAGTGAAAGCCAAGAAGGGAGTGAACCAGTCAACAAACATTTACAGAGTTTACTGTATTGCAACTGGAGTGTTCATAGAGTTTACTATATAAGCAAAGTTTGCACCTTCTCTTGTTTGTCTTAACTGAATTCAAATAAAAATACCTTTCTGTTTGGTCACTGTAAATCTGCTCAAGAAGTGTCCTATTAATTTTCTGTTTAGATGTTGCTGAAATTGCTGATGAAGTTTACATGGAAGTGATTGTAGGAGAGGAGGATGCTGCTGTTGCAGCAGCTGCCGTGCATGAGCAGCAAATGGATGACAGTGAAATCAAAACCTTTATGCCAATAGCATGGGCTGCAGCTTATGGTAAGTCATATAGCAGCTTTGAGGATTGCAAGATTCCTAAACCTGAATTCTGAATTGAAAAATGGTTTCTATAGTCTATGTTTTCACAGATACAAAGTACCAGTACAATGGCTTAAGCCAAAGGAGAAGATTATTATATAATACACCTTTGTCAACCTTTTGCCTTTAATTTTAAAGACAATTTCCTTCATGGGTTTATTATGTAAGAAGTTCATATGCTTTCAAGATGAAAATTTTAACATGAATAATGCTGTCTCATGACTATAATCTTGAGTGACAACAAAGGGAGTTCATGGGACAGAATGCTAGATTTGGAACCTAGTCACTTCCTATAGTCTATGGTATATAAATAGGCCCATAAAGTCCATTACCACATACATAATGGGAATTTGGCATTCATGAGTATCATGCCCCTTTGTTATAGTAAATAAAGAATCCCTAATTTTTCATAATTTAAAGAATGTAACTTCTTTTTTAATGCACATTGTTAGGTAATAATTCTGATGGAATTGAAAACCGGAATGGCACTGCAAGTGCCCTCTTGCACATAGATGAGTCTGCTGGGCTTGGCAGACTGGCTAAACAAAAACCAAAGAAAAGGAGAAGACCTGATTCCAGGCAGTACCAAACAGGTGAGGGTACATGAGTTCCACAGCACAGCATGCTTTCAGAACTCTCAGATGAAATTCTAGTATGTATGCACACAGGGGTTTTGATGGTATTTTAACTGGTAGATGATACGTAGTTCTTGGTTTATGGACTTTTATGTTGTAAATGTAATTTTAAGAATTCATTGATATTCAAGAATGATTTCTGGGGTAAAAGGTTTGGGAATCACATTCAGAAAAAAACAATGAAAATTTTACATTATTTTAATGAAATGGAAATAAATCCCTAAAATATATTCATTAACTTTAAATGGAGAAATTTAAAGAATATTTTTGTCAGCGTAAGTAGGTACCATTTACAGAGGAACAATACTAATACTTATGCTTTCATTGGACATACTCTTTTTCTGTATAGTCTTGTGTACTGATTTATTAACATTTTTTAATAGCTGTAGTTAGACTTTAATTTTGGTATGGAATAAGCAAACCTGAAATTCTTGAGCTTTATGAGTGATTTTCTATACTTATCTAAGTTTATGTGACTTTTGTTACTTTATTTTAAACTAGAAAAGAGATTGGCACAGTACATTCATATTGAATCAAGTTCCTCGACCAGTTTCACTTATTCCTGGGATGTTTCTATGTCTTTTATTGTAAAGGAATGTTAATCTTTAAATGTATTTTCCTTTCTTAGCAATAATCATTGGCCCTGATGGACATCCCTTGACCGTCTATCCTTGCATGATTTGTGGGAAAAAGTTTAAGTCGAGAGGATTTCTGAAAAGGCACATGAAAAACCACCCTGAACACCTTACCAAAAAGAAGTACCGCTGTACTGACTGTGATTACACTACCAACAAGAAGATAAGTTTACACAACCACCTGGAGAACCATAAGCTGACCAGCAAGACAGAGAAGGCCATCGAATGCGATGAGTGTGGAAAGAATCTCTCTCATGGTGGGGCTTTGTTTACTCACAAAATGGTGCATAAGGAAAAAGGAGCAAATAAAATGTACAAGTGTAAATTCTGTGAATATGAGACAGCTGAACAAGGGTTATTGAATCGCCACCTTTTGGCAGTCCACAGCAAGAACTTTCCTCATATCTGTGTGGAATGCGGTAAAGGCTTTCGTCACCCATCAGAGCTCAAAAAGCACATGCGAATCCACACTGGGGAGAAGCCTTACCAATGCCAGTACTGTGAATATAGGTCTGCAGACTCCTCTAACTTGAAAACACACATAAAAACTAAGCATAGTAAAGAGATGACATTCAAGTGTGACGTTTGTCTTCTGACTTTCTCAGATACCAGAGAGGTTCAGCAACATTCTCTTATGCACCAAGAAAACAGAGTACACCAGTGTTTGCATTGCAACCATAAGAGTTCAAACTCAAGTGATTTGAAACGCCACATAATTTCTGTTCACACAAAGGACTACCCACATAAGTGTGACATGTGTGATAAAGGCTTTCATAGGCCTTCAGAACTCAAGAAGCACATGGCTGTCCACAAGGGTAAAAAAATGCACCAGTGTAGACACTGTGACTTTAAGATTGCAGATCCATTTGTTCTAAGTCGTCATATTCTCTCAGTTCATACAAAAGATCTTCCATTTAGGTGTAAGAGATGCAGAAAGGGATTTAGGCAACAGAGTGAGCTTAAAAAGCATGTGAAGACACACAGTGGCAGGAAGGTGTATCAGTGTGAGTACTGTGAGTATAGCACTACAGATGCCTCAGGCTTTAAACGGCACGTTATTTCCATTCATACGAAGGACTATCCTCACCGTTGTGAGTACTGCAAGAAAGGGTTCCGAAGACCTTCTGAAAAGAACCAGCACATAATGCGACATCATAAAGAAGTTGGCCTGCCCTAAGAACACCTCTATAGATATTTGTAGAGATGTTAGCTTTGAAGCAGAAAATTTATTTTTAAGCCATTCATTCTCATTCACTTACAGTATTGTACATTGATTTATGCTGTGTACAAACAGGATTATTGTTTCTACTCAACTTTTCTTTACATTTTATTCAGTAGAGTGTTCTAGATTCTACTCAGTTTAATGAGAAAAAGAAGCAGCAGTGAAATTGCTTTTAATGAAATAACCATAAATCTATACTGAATTTTTCAGACTTGGTAGTTTTACTATTTAAATATTTACTTATTCACCTTGATAGTACTCTTCTGAGACCTTTTAAAGATTAAAAAACCCAAATATTGGTTACTCCAAAAATAATTTTGACTCATTTTCCCAATTTTTTCACATTAAATAGAAACATCTGCTAATATAAATGGAATATTTTAATGTTGGATCTATACCATGAAAGTCCTTGCTTAGTATTTTCAGATCACATGACAAACTTTCCATTTGAGCCTCTTGCAGTGCTGAATGTAGAACATTGGCTAAGTTTGTGTTTAATTTTCACTTTGTTTTGCAGGCAAATAAGCTGCTTTCTCTTTGCAGTGTTCACATAGGACACTAATAGCCTTATTGAAAGGTTTTGCTTGTTTCTTTTTTTTTTGTCTCTGTACTGTTCTGTTTTGGAATAGTTCTGTTCTACAAATGAGAATTGTGAACTCAGTTTTGAATCTTTTAGAGAGAAATTATGGCTCATAGGCTGTTGTGCAACTGGATGTATGTGTACTCTATGGATTTTGTATGTCCCTGTGTGTTATTTTACATATTTCTATACACAATCCCAAATTTTAAGGCTATAAAAAAATATTAAATACAATAAGCCTGAAAGATCCAGGAATGTATGAGCAAGCATTTTCTGTGCTTTGTATTCAGAGAGTAAATTCAGGTGAAGAATTAGAAGGCAAATGAGGACACTAGTATTTTTAAACAGTAATGTTTTAAGTATCTTGGTAACTGGAAAAGGAATTTAAGGTGTTTCAGATAGAAACTTTTCTTACAATTTCAGACTCATAGCTTAAATTTTTCTGAAAAGGCCATGAAGTTGCAGACTGCAGACATGAGTCTCTCTAGTGCTCATTGATAAGCCTATAAAGGAACTGTCTTCTCACAAAGTCAGAAAGGCTAAGAAGAAGCCTTGGCTCTACCTACCAGAGAATGGGTGCTAATTAAACTTGGCTATTTCAGCCTTCTTTTTTATTTCTTAGACAGTTAGTAAACTTGGAAGAGATTTAACACTCTGGTTGGCTTTGGTTAAAACATAAAAGTATATTTAAAAGTAAATGAAAATGTGAGGCTTTATTTGGAATATCACTGAGTCACAGTTTTGTTTTTATTTGAGAATTGACACATTTTAAGTCGTGCATCATAAACATAAAATACTAGGTCAAACAGTTAATTAGAATTTGGTTGTGTTAATATGAATTTTTGAGAGCAGAGAATAAATTTTATGTAACAAATTGGGTATTGGCACATATTAGTGGCACGTTGTGAGAAATTAGAAATTTTTATTCCAGTCTGATACAGCTACCTTGTATCTTCATTATGGTGCTTTTACCTTTAGCCTGTCTCTGTGCCTCTAATGTTTATATTCAAAATTTATATTTATAGGTTGGGGATCTAAGTATTTGTCCTTTATTTTTACAGCTTCTAAAGGCTAGATTAAATTAGGCTAGTTCTAAGTTAAGTGCTTTAGGCACCTTGGGGTTTAAACCTAAAGTCAGCAAAAACCACATGTTGAATTTTGGAACCTCTTTTGCCTTCTTGGCCTGCATATATGTATCTACCCATTTTTAGTTCCATCCATTGATCTGTTCTTGAAAACTCTTATTCTTTATGTAAGAATCTTTCAAATTTCCTTTGCATTTGGTTTTTCCCTAAACTAATATTAAAGGAAAGGTTTAAATGAAAGTTTACATTAAAAATTTTTAAATACTCTGTAAAATTAATACAGATAACTAGCTATTATATTTCTAAAATAGAGATAATGAACAACATGTAATTATATTTTTCACATAGTCTGGAGTCAACGCAATTGCTTTTTTAAAAATTTTCAAGCACAATGTTGAGACCTTTAAAAGGTATTAAGGGTTTGGTCAAGTGAATATGATAAAATATTAATCTTCATAAAGAAAATGAAGTACTTTCTGTTATGTACTTATAAGCAGGCTGTTTTAATTCTTAATTAGCAAAGCTAAAGTGGATGTTTCAGTTTAATGTTCTAAACAGGTACAGATTTTTAGAGGAACATAAGTTATTGTTGAAATATCCTATATGTCTCTGCATCTGTACACATTGTAAAATACTTAATAAGAAATTCGTATAGAAAAATAAGACACTATTGTAAATGTGTACTTGAGAATAACATACAAAAATAAAAATCAGAATATTTTCCTGTTAATACTTAAGTCTGTTTGATACAAGTATCAAGTCAACACTTTTTCTTATGGAAAAAAATGCTGTTTTTGTTAAATCTCATGAACATAAAGGTCTCCTATTTTTGTTTCCCTGTTCTTAGCAGTGGAATGCAAAAGGTTTTTTAACTTTGTGACTTGGATGTAAATGCTAACCCCATGAGTTTGCAAGTAAAATCTTAGAAGAGTTAAGAACTAATTGCTGAGTTCTTTGGTTAACATGTCATTGAAATTCATTACTTTTAGCTTCACAAAAGACTTAATATCTCCAATTCCTCTGAGGTAAATTTCATCAGAAAAACATGGATAAGTTTGAGGACCTAAGTTCATTTCGGCATAAATCTGCAGCAATCAGTGATCATTATTACTCTGTCCATACTAAAAGACCCTGCTTTAGGATTACCCTTACATGCCCAGTTTTGAGGATTCTAATAGACACTTACGTAACTGTAGAAAGGGTTATTGTCACAGTAAAAATCAAACAAGGTGACAGTTATCAGGACGTTTTAGTTCATTCAGACTCTGTAACAGTACCATAAACTAGGTAATTTATGAACAATAGAAGTTTACTTCCTACAGTTCTGGAGAGTTGGGAAGTCTAAGATCACTTGTGTTCAGATTGGTGAGAGCCCAGTTTCTGGTTCATGGATGGCTATTTTCCTGTTAAGTCTTCACATGGTAGGAGGACCAAGGATGTCTCCAAAAGTCTCCTTTATAAAGAGCAATAATCCCATCCATGAGGCTCCACGCTCATGACCTAATCACTTCCCAAAAGCCCTACCTCCTAATATTAGGCAGGAAAATAGATATGAGTGGGGTGTAGAGAGAAGGCCAGTAAAGCCCACTAAAAAGGACTCAACTTGCTAACCAATTAAAACTAAAAAGCCAGGGTGAAGGGATTAAAGATGGCATGAGAGATTAGATGGACGCTTCTTCCTAAAACCACATATAATATGAAAATATAATTAATACAACTAACCCTGAAAAAGCAACAGGAAAGAGAACTGCGCCAGACTGTGTACACCTGGAGAAGAGCAGACCGTGTGGAACAGGGATTAGAAAGCTAAGAATTCCTGGAGAGAGTGAGGTTCCAGCCACTTTGGAAAGCAGGGATCCATATCCGGCTACAATGGGACAAAAGAAAGGTGGGCAGTCTTGAGAGACTTCCTAAGAAGGAAGCCCTTAGCAAGAGGGCTGCTAAAGGTGCAAGAATTGCAAAGAGCTTACTGCTCAGGAGAAACGACAGGTAGACAAAATTGTCTGGGTGCACTCTGCCCAGCAGGTTGGGACCTTTCACCATTTTCAGGCGCTCAGTCTCCCTGGCTGGCTACACAGCTCCAAGGACCCCCTCCGTGATACACAGTCTACTGTGCCTTTCTCGTGGCCAGCTCCACCTGGCTTGTAAACCGGCAAACCCTACCCTGGTGTTAGGCCAGCCAGAAGGAAAATCTGTCTACAGCAACTACAAACGCAAAGTACACAGGCTTATACTTGTGTCCTTGGCCCACTGGTTCAGGCAGTGGAGACCAGCATAGCAGCAAACCCCGAATTTGCTTCAGAGGCTGAGCAGCTCCAGAGAGTAGAACTTCTGAACACTAGAGGGCACTATATACAAATATGAAACACCAAAGGAACCTAGTTACTTTTAATTTCCAAAGTAAACTTATTAATACAACTCCTGAGAAAGATGACATCAACCTCATGAATCTTCCTGAAAGGGAGTTCAAAATAAAAATCATTAACATGCTCATGGACGGACATACAGGAAGATATTCAAGAACTCAGAAATGAATTCCAGTCATATCCAATTGTTGAAGACCACAATGGAGGGTATTCTAAACAGATTAGATATGGTGGAGGAGATGATAAATGAAAGAAACTAAAGAATACAAAGAAGCTGGGGCAGAGAAAATATCTGTAAGAATGAGAATATTGACAACTTGGAGATCCACAGATTCCCAACACAAGGGACCCCAGGAAGACAATACCAAGACATATAGTAATTAAAATGGCAAAGATCAAGGATAAGGACAGACTATTAAAAGAAGCCAGAGAGAGAAATAAGATCACGTACAAAGGAAAACCTATCAGGCTATCACTCTTAGCAGAAACCTTACAGGCCAGAATAGAGTGGCATGATGTACTTAATACAATGCAGAAGGGCCTCAAACCAAGATTATCCAGCAAGAATATCATTTAAATTTGAAGGAGGGATTAAACAATTCCAGATAAAAGTGGAGAGAATTTACCTCCCGCAAACCATCTCTACAGTGTATTTTGGAGAAACTGCCACAGAATGAAGTGTTCCTAGGTTTAATAGCTGTCACCAGAGGTAATAAAACCACAGTAAAGAAAGTAGAAAAGCTAATTACTAAGCAAATGCAAAATTAAATTAACTATCCCCACAGTCAGTCAAGGGATAGACAGAGTACAAAATATGATACCTAATAAATAAAGAATGGAGGAGGAAGAAAAAGAAAAATGAACCTTTAGACTGTGTTTGTAATAGCATATTAAGTGAGTTACGTTAGACTCTTAGATAGTAAGGAAGTTAACCTTGAACCTTTCATACCTTCAAATCTAAAGCCTGCAATGGCTATAAGTACATACCTATTGATAATCACCCTAAATGTAAATGGACTGAAAACACCAATTAAAAGACAGAGTCACTAAATGGATAAAAAAAAACAAGACCCATCTCTATGCTGCTTACAAGAGACTCACTTTAAACCTAAAGATATACACAGACTAAAAGTGGGGATGGAAAAAGATATTTCATGCAACTAACAGGGAGAAAATACGAGTTGCAGTACTTGTATCAGACAAAATAGACTTCAAAATAAAGCCACAAAAGACAGGACATTACATAATGATAAAAGGGTAACTGCAACAAGAAGATATAACCATTATAAATATCTATACACCCAACAGAGGAGCACCTACATATGTGAAACAAATACTAACAGAATTAAAAGGTGAAATAAAATGCAATGCATGCATTCTAGATGTCAACACTCCACTCACTCCAAAGGACAGATCAACCAAACAGAAAATAAGTAAGGACACAGAGGCACTGAACAACATACTAGTACAGTTGGACCTAACAGACATCTAGAGAGCTGTACACTCAAAAGCAGCAGAATACACTTCTCAAGTGCACATAGAACATTTTCAAGAATAGACCATACACTAGACCAGAGAAAGATCCTTAGTAAATTCAAAGATTCAAATTGTACCAAGTAGTTTCTCAGACCACAAAGGTGTGAAACTAGAAATAAATTATGCAAGGAAAATGAAAAATCCCACAAACACTTGGAGGCTTCACAACATGCTTCTGAATAACCAATGGATCAATGACTAACTAAAAACATCAAGCAATGTATGGAGAGAAATGACAACAATAATTCAGCACTGGAAAATTTGTGGGATGCTGTGCTGAGCTGAAAGTATATTGCAATACAGGCCTATGTTAGAAAAGAAGAACAATCCCATATGAGCAGTCTAAACACACAAATAATGAAACAAGAAAAAGAAGAACAAAGGAGGCCCAAAGTCAGTACATGGAGGGATATAAAGATTAGAGCAGAAATAAAATTGAGAAGAATGAAACAATAGAATCAATGAAAACAACAGTTGATCCTTCAAGAAAATGAACAAAATAGATAAACCCCTAGCCAGACTAATGATGTAATGAAGAGAGTCTACTCACCTAAACAGAATCAGAAATGAGAAAGGAAAAATCACTACACACACCATAGAAATATAAAAAATTATTACAGGATACTATGAAAAATTGCATTGTAACAAACTGGATAACATAGAAGAAATGGACAACTTTCTAGAACATACAACATTCCAAGGTTGACCCAAAAACAGAAAATTTGAACAGACCAATTATTATAAACAAAATTGAACTGGTAAGCAAAAATCTAATAACAACACCCCTGGACTAGAGGACTTCACTGCTGAATTTCATCAGACATTTAGTGACAATCTAATTCCCATTCTCCTTAAAGGTTTCCAAAAAATAGAAGAGGAGGGAATACTCCCAAACTCATTCTATGAGGCTAGCATCACTCTAACACCAAAATCGGGCAAAGCCCCCCCCCCACACACACACAAAAATTACCAACCAATATACCTGATGAACACAGATGCAAAAATATTTAACAAAACATTAGCAAACTGAATTCAAAAACACATCAAAAAGATCATCCATCATAAGCAAGTATGATTTATTCCAGGAATGCAAGGATGATACATTTGAAAATCCATCAACGTCTTCCACCACATCAACAAAAAGGACAAAAACCACATGATCATCTCCATAGATGATGAAAAAGCATTTGACAAAATTCAACATCCATTCACGATAAAAACTCTCAACAAAATGGGTATAGAGGGCAAGTACCTCAACACAATTAAGACCATACATGACATACCCACAGCCAACATCATACTTAACAGCAAGAAGCTGAAAGTTTTTCCCTAAAGATAGGGAACAAGACAAGGATGCCCACTTTCCCACTTCTATTAAATATAGTACTGGAGGTCCTAGAAAACACAAAGAAATAAAAGGCATGCAGATTGGCAAGGAAGAAGTTAAACTGTCGCTATTTGGAGATGACATGATATTCTACATAAAAAATCCTTAAGGAATCCACTTCAAAACAACTAGATCTAATACCTGAATTCAGCAAAGTCACAGAATCCAAAAGTAATATGCAGAAACCTGTGGCATTCCTATACACTAAGAATGAATTATCAGAAAGAGAAATCAGGGAAACAATGCCACTCAGAGATGCATCCAAAAGAATAAAATACCTAGGAATAAACCTAACCAAGAAAGTGAAAGACCTATACTCTGAAAACTACAAGACACTCGAGAGAATTAAAGAAGATATCAATAAATGGAAACACATCCTGTGCTCATGGATAGGAAGTATTAATATTGTCAAAATGGCCATCCTGCCTA